CGAATAAACGTGGAGTGCGTGAACTGATACGCAGGTAAACAACATCGTGCTCTTCCGTCTGACCACGCAAATTTCGCTACGCTCCTTTCACCAACTAGCAGAGAAAGGAGGTATTTCTTTGGCGAGAAACAGGCGATTTGAATTTAGCTCAGAGGCGTCATTTAGGCTCGAGGATCTTTTACATGCAAGTAAATCTACTAACATGGGACAGCCGGCTTTACTTCCCCTCCGAAGGATTTTTTTCGCCCTTAAAAATCCACGGCTTCGATCGGGTTTAAACCCGCCAACTTGGGTATACCAGTCCCATACGCTAACCGTTACACCATCGCCGCGCGCAAGTTGTAGGCACACACATACTAGTACAACGGTGTACGACCTTTTGTCATGATTTTGAAATTATTTAGATACACGTGACGAATAAACGCGGAGTGCGTGGATTGGTACGCAGGTGAACAACATCGTGGCGGCGCTGCATGAGGAGCTGTTCCTGCCGCACGACGTGGTGTACGCCAGCGGGGACCTCGCGCGCTACCTCTACTTCCTGGCGCAGGGCACAGTGGCCGTGTTCTTGTCCACGGGCGAAGAGGTGGGCCACCTCACGGACAGCTCCTCCTTCGGCGAGATGGGCCTCATGCTGAAAGAGCACCACCGCCGCCACGTGGAGAGCGTCGTGGCGCTCGAGGTGTGCGAGGTGAGATCGTCAGGTGTTCCCCAGGGATGCTTCTAGTGCCAATAATAATAAAACATCTTGCAAGCGTAAAGGAAATTACAAATACATCTATGTCGATTAGTTCGATTTCATCATGGCGTTTTCAGTAGACAGTGTGGTGTTTGGGGAGATGTTACATCTCCAGCTGAGTAGACCAGTGTCCGGTCCCCTCCATCACTTCTATTCAATGCGTCGTTTAATAAATACTTAAAATGGAAAGAGTATGATGACCTTCCGTAAGTTATCTCAGCCTTCACAATAAATTCAAGGAACATATCGCGATTACTCTTTTTTATATAAGGGACGATGGCTTCTGCATTCTGGCTTTTCAACAAATCCCTCAAAAATACGTTTTTTTAAATATTCTGTAATCTCAAAATATAAAAAATTTAAAAACACGGAATATAAAAATTAAACCCCGTGAGATCCACAAAAAAATAATACACAACACCCCTCCAAAGTTCGCCTTGAACCAATTTGCTCGAGTGTATGTGACCTTAAAAAACAAACTAATTAAGTAATCAAAATAGCACAGTTTTGTTTCCTCTTCTAATTTCCTTTTAAATTAATTTACAATATATTCATCAATTTTAATAAGTGAGAATTTTCTAAAACACTATTTGAATTTCTTTATATGTAATTCACTTTAATTTAATACCCTAAATTTCAAGTAGAACACTATTCGCAATCCATAGCAATAATTTTACATTTCCGATGAAACTTTTACGTTAAATTCAAAGATATAATTATAAACTTTAAAACAATTTCTGGTGTATGCTCTCGGACATCAGTCCATTCTTCACACTCTTCTACTTACATACGCAATCCCAATTACAACTCTCTTCAAAGGATTTACAATATCACAGTATAGTTCAGTTACTATGTTTGTTAACCAAGAAATATTGAATTTCACGTTTCGTCACGTTTATTAATCCAAACTGTATTTCAGACGAATTTGTGACAGCACTCGTGTAACTCGTAAGAGTCCATCCTACTTCATTTCAAATATTCGACGGTTATCTAATGGCAACGACCTTACTTGAAAACCAGCAATGTAGAAATCTGGTATACAATGCACTCCTTCCATTCTTCCTTTCGCCTGCCCCCGATCTTCACTTCTGGCTGCATTCGAATGTAGGTAATGATACCAAGACGTAGAGTTAAGATTTAGTAAGTACGAAGACCATAAATACATAAACAAAAACTGGAAAAGATTGAGAATAATTATATACATGAATTCCCTTCCGTACCTACCGAGACCTGCTAGCGTCTCCCACTTACCTCACAACATATTCGAAACGTTCCTAGCATTACATGTCGTCATAACTTTCTATCATTCGATTAATACAAAATGCGAGATAAGTTTTATTACCTCCTTACTCCGAAGTCGTGGCTTACTCTTTTGAATAATTTGGAGAATTTGTAGTTATGGATTATCACAGGACTTACTGTAGCCCGTCCACCTAACCAATTTGCGTTTCGTCAGCCGAAAAGGCCATGTCGTTCGCCTTCCGAAGTACAGTAACGGTGCTTCAATCCGGGCGACCCCACCCCCACTTTAGGCACCGGATGCCTAAAGAACTTTCGTACTGAATGCGCGCGCATTTCAAATAAGTTGGTGCTGCCAAAGCCCGAAATTTGTGACTCGTTTCCATGATAAATAAAACCTGTTGACACTACTTTTGCGTCGTTATTTTCCATGCATCGGAACGAGTTAAAGTGGATAAACACAGTTCCAAGTTTACAACAAACTACGAATTTACAACCGCTTCCATTAGTGATTGCGAGTCTTGATGAAATCTTCCAGTTGACAGTGGCGTTTGCGCAGATCTTCCTGCTGGAGCGAAGTGACTTCGAGCGACTGGTGCGTCCGCTGCCGCGACTGTACAACCGCATTCGCGCGGCCGCCATGTTGAGGGCGACGGACGTGACTCACATGGAATGGGCAGAAGGGTACGATGGCTACGATCGCGACTACAGCTACGAGAGCGTGCGTCCCGTCTCTCCCACGTCGTCCACCTCCGGCTCCACTGGGCCCCAGACGTCAAAGAGAATCAAGAGAAAGAAAACTAACATGTAGGGTATTTTTGTTTTCAAATGGATTTACATTATTCGCTCAGAATCTAAGTTTTAATTTACAATTCTGACACATTGAATTGTGGACGTGTTTGTAAAAACAGTAAATTAACTCCATTGAAAATTGTTCATATTTTAATGATTGTACTTGAGAAATTATTGAATATTTTGATAGAAATTACACTTGGAAATGCATGGCAGGTAACCATTTGTAATGTTTAATTTGTACCAGTTTGCAATGAAAGGATCGAATAGCGACATATTAAATTAGTTAGAAACAGTTTTTGTTCATCCGTTTGCTTACAACAATGGTTTTGTTGGTTAAAAGTTTAATGTTTACGGCAATTCATTATTGTGATAATAAAATATTTGTCACCTGTATCTTGCAGTGAATGGCACACTTTCACCATTTAATAAATACAATATAAAAACGTTTGTTTTATTTTTCGTTGAAAATGTTTGTAATTCGGAGACACTCAATGAAATGACCTAAAAATCTTAAAATACTTCAGTTTCTCCATATTTGTTTTATTACTAGGCAGAATATTCTGTGGTACTAGTACATTTTTTATAATTCATATATAAAAAGAATATTGTATCAAGGTGTAATTTGTTTTCAAGTGCGAATAGCATTCTTAGACTAAATATAAATTGTACACATCTATATATTTTTGTACATAATATTGGGTAGTGTTTTATAAATTGACGTAAATAAACTAGCCTGCAGCAAACTTACATAAAATCTTTAAGCAAACAAATAAAATTAATAAATAAAAATATATTTTAGCAACAACATACAATAGAGAAATTTGTTAAAAGAAAAGCAAATATAAACAAAGTCATCACATCAGGATTAGTTAAGGGAGACATCTAAAAATTTTCAAATAAATGTTTCTGAAGCTCTTTTAGAACATGCACAAAAATGATATTTCACACTTGAGGAGGCTGCTTTTGTTAATATCATTCAAAGAAGGTGGAACACCATTTCCCCGCATCATTACAATACTTTCTCTACACTGCTTAAGCAGTAGCGAAAAAGTAAAATATGATGCCGTTTTCTTTGCACCTACTTAACAATTTTCTTGAAGAGTCACAAAATTCTCATTTTTTTCTTGAGCTCCTGAATGTTTGCAGATTGTCGACAATTATCGTTGCACTTCATAATGAATGTTCTCCGTAGCACTTTCTTCTAAAGGGACAGCTAATTGGTTTTGCTCTTTCTGTCTTCTGCTCCCAGATGACTCCCTATTACTTGTTTAGTTGACATGTAGACCTGAAAATTTGGTAACTTGAAAGGAATTGCACCCTCCCTCAGACGAGCAAACTACTGGCAATGACGTAACGTTCGGGCCCAGGGTAAAAGGCATTATATAGAGGGCTTATTTTTAGGGGATATTTTGTATTATTTAAGATACACACACTACTTGTGTTTTCTATACAATTTTTTAATGAAGAGGGCCCGGATAAAAGATTTGCGGGCGGACCCGCACTCATTTCGTTACGCTACTGTGTAATGGTGCTGTACTTCTACCGATTCGCTCGTGAAAGACATATGCCTCTCTGATAGTATGCTAAGAAAAATGTAGTTCACAAACCTGAAAAATATTATTCTTTGTTAGTCACAAAAACATAGCCAGGTTCACTAACTACTTCAATTGCCATGCAAGGATGTAGCAAGACAAATTAGGTTGTTTTATGGCCACCCGGCTGTGGGTTGTAGTAACAAAAACAAGTTCGATTGCTCTTATCCATTTTTGTGCAAGTTCTGGATCCCTTGGAAAACCAAAAACTGTTCCTTTGGGTCAATGTAATTGTAAGCTACCCATTATAGTTTGACCTACAACACAAAACACAACGAGGCATAACGAATCTTCAGAAATGTCAAGAAAACTTGCACAACAGAAACTAAACCAAATTGAATTTAATTCATTAAGGACCAAGATTTGAAATAATATTTTTAATAATATCATGTGTTTACTATAATATTGCACTATAAAGAATAAAAAACTCATTTACAGTTTTTTTAAACGAATAGTCAATGTACAACAATTGTTGCTTATATGAACTTTGGGACAATGGAACACGAGACGACTGAAAACAGTTCGAATGGAGACGAACATTTTATTTTTTTACATTTCTTAATTGTCGTGTTTTGGACAATTTGCACCATTTTTGGTTTCTCCCTTTATAATCAACCACGTGTTCTATATTGTAACGTTTCTCGATGGTGAATTAAAACTCACACTGGTATTTAACAAAGATGTTTATTTTATAAACAATGCTACACTAAAACTACTTTATCTGTTTACAGATACATAACACAGTCCTTGTGTTCGTCACTTGATTATTTATTTACATAGTTCACTTCTGATTATTTATTTAGCTGTTCACTTCTACAATATCACACAGTCCGATGAACTGTCCACAGTCCACTGCGCTGGCCTCAATTCGCTGCGCAGACCACAATTCGCTACGCAGACCACAATTCCTTGCGCAGACCACAATTCACTTGCATAGACCAGGGTCCAATGCACTGCTGTTTACCGCGATGCACACTTCACAACTCAGCTTCCACTGCAGACTTCAAACTGCTGACTGCTGTTCCCCTACTGTCACCACTGTTTACTGCGTTGCACAATTCACAGCTCAGCTTCCCTGCAGACTTCAGACTCCTGTTTACCCACTGCACCACTGTTCATCGCAATGGACACTTTACAGCTCAGCTTCAGTCACACTGATGGACTAACTGTTTACTACTTGACTGATTACATACACTGACTCGCGGCTGCTTACTTCCGACTACTACTCTGTCGGTCGCCAGCAGCGGGGAATTTATACCTCGCCGGCGCTCGCCTCGAGCCTTCGGGAAAATGAGCAACACTTCTACGAATGGTCCGGAACCGTCCAGCCAGGGGGAGAAGAGGGGGCGCCGGCAGATGACGCAATCCGCGCAGCGAATCCCGACAGGTGATGCAATATTCATTGCAATATAATGACTGATGATTTCGGGCCCGCCAACTGCTGAGTTCATGAGTTTCGTAAATGTGGTGTGACCCAACCGTCGTGCCTCTTATCAGTACTATAATTATTTTTACATCTATTACCTGATATTCCAAATCCGTTTAAATTTTAATCTAATCTTTCCGGCACGAGCGGCATTGGGCACTTCATTAGAGATTGTAGTTCTTGTAATTGATTGATTGTTGTGTATTAGGTTAGGTCTAATATTTAAGTTTCATTTCATTTATTGCTAAGGAAAAAGCAATTTATTTTATGTAACAATTTCATTACATTATAAAAATATGAAACGCAATAAAAAGTTCCAAGCCTAATAGAATTGATTTAGAGACATCTCCGCTACCTATTTCTTACAATTATTATGTAGCTTAAAATAGCAGGATTTAACTGTAGTATACTTAAGAAGGCAGAAAATGGATATACTTGAATTATACTCGCACATTTTCTTGAGCCCCGGCATACCTATCCCCATTCCTTTACTAACATTAGTTGAATTTAGAACAAATGTTAGGGATGAGCCTTGTTGACAAAATCTAATTATCAGAAATGTTTGCCTCCGTGTAATAGAAGCCATTTTGCAACCTGTCGTCGAAATAACCAAGCCGTCACTCCACACGCACCTAGCGAAAGGAGAGCTCAAGAAAAGGCGCGCGGATAATTCATAAGTATAACATGCGCTAGTAAAACTAGATAAAGATAAATTTATTTGAACTGCAAATGGGCATAACCCGGTGGCAGCTAATTACATAAATAAAATACTACAGCTAACATGCAAATTATATAATAATAATAAAATAATGATAATAAAAATAACATGAATAATAAATGTAATAATAATGCCGTAATAAACTTGTTTTTTCGACATTTGTACCATATAACAGTTGATTAATACGAATTTCGTGATTGATTATCTAACAGCGAAAGAAAATCTGAAAATTTGCTATCACATACTGCAATGTTCTTTGTCGCGGCTAACGGCGGCTCCGACTCGAACGTTGTCGTCACAATTTGAGAACTGCTTTGGTAAAAGTAGAAAATGATTGCTGCTCCCGACTATCGAAATGAATGCATTGTTTGAATTGGACGTTTTCGAGCAATAGCCGATGTGCTAGAAATTGCAATATTTGTGCATTACGTAACTCCAATAATGCGAGAAAGTATGACCTGTTGTTAGACCGCTAGTCCTGTGGCACCATCTCCCGGCCATACTTCTCAATAAAATGTTACTGAGCTCTGTTAGCCACAGTTTCGAATTCTACAGTATATCTCTGGTGCTGACAGCTGTGAGCACTGAAAATGGTCGAGATCTTTTGACGCAGCATTCCAGCAGAATCGATCCGTTCCATAGAGCGGCGGAATAAGACGTTACGTTTCTTGACGGGATTACTCCTAATTGCGGTCCTTTACCCGGTTTCTATGACGGCTGCTGTGCCTGCGCTTATGATAGAGTAGACGCCCTATGTTTAATATCCTCAACGCATACGTTGCAGCAATACGTCACTCGCCACCGGTGTGTGAGCGCATGTGCCTGCAGAGGTTTCCTTGTTGACGGAACGTCTTACCGCACACATCGCAGTTGTAGGGGCGCGCTCCCGTGTGAGTGCGACAGTGTTGAAGGAGAGAGTTGGAGCGGGCAAAGGTTTTACCGCATACGTCGCACCTAAAAGGCAGTTCTCCTGTGTGTATGCGCATGTGTATGCTGAGGTTATGTTTTCGAGTGAACGTGTTATTACATACTTCGCAGCGAAATGGACGCTCTCCGGTATGAATACGAAGGTGGGTGACGAGAGTGGGTGATTGGGTGAAAGCTTTACCGCACACGTCGCATCTAAACGGTCGCTCACCCGCGTGTATGCGTAGGTGAGCGGTAAGAGCTATCTTCTGGAAGAATGCCTCTCCGCACACGTCGCAGCGAAACGGCCGCTCGCCGGTGTGGGAGCGCATGTGAACAGCGAGTTTTGATGGGTACTGAAAAGCCTTCTCGCACACTTCGCAACGAAAACGCCCTTTCCCCTTGCGCCTGGGCTTGTGAGTGCTGGCGCTGGGTGGGTGGGGCGAAGCCGTTCCGCCCTCGTCGCTGAGCAGAGTCTGTTCGCCCTCGTGCGACTGCAGCTCCGAGTGCGGCGGGGGCGACTCGCTCTGCTGCCCTGGGGGACTCCTCTGCGTTGCCAGCTCCTTCTCCGGCGGGAGGCCGGCTGTACCTGCACAACATGCAATGACCCTTAGTAACAAGCCCCATTGCTACTTTTCAGTACTCTTCAATATTTAAGAGAGAGTCAAAGTTAGAGGAGTGGTACCACGAATCCAGAGAAAAACTCCCGTTATGAAATACACAGCCTAATATAGATGTTACGAGGCAACGGGTACTATGTTTTGAGGTAGTATGTACTGATGAAGTAAATATGTCGAAGAAAGAATGTTCATTGTGATAAATGATCGGAAATGCGCAATATATATATATATATATATATATATATATATATATATACATAGCATACATACATACCACGCACCACACTACAAGTTAAATACATAGGAAGAAAATATTTTGCAAATATTTGAACTCCCAATAATGAAATGGAAATTTATAAAAACAATAATATATTATAATAAACGGAAATTATCCTCTACACATTGTAAGAGATTAATTGGAAACATTTCTTAGAATACCGATGTAGATCACTTCATAATCTTGCATCAGCTGTCAGGATGTAGATGCCACGGTGCGCGTTGAGCACCTTACAAGAAGTTTGATTATGCTCAGGTCGTCAAATAAATCTGTGAATGCCACGTTCATCTAACAGCATCGGCAACCACTAACCTTACTGTGTCATTAATTGATTAGTGTACTTGAATTAAAAGAAAGTGAACATCCATTAAAATATGGGGTACTTCCTATGATGCCCCTGAGGCATATTCAAAATTTCTCAAAAAAGGCTCCAAATTTTTCTTTACATTTTTTTAAAGCAATGAAGTAAAATACACTTATAAAGATGGTTTGAGTCCTTTTTACACCGTTAACTCTTAAATTCTCAAAAACTTTGATTTTTTTAGGTTTATTCTATTACGAAATGGCGGTCGCTATGGGGAAGTAAAAACAGTTCTTATAATTGTGGTAAAATTGATCACTTCCCAAACTGGTGGGGCTAAACTAAGTACATACATTCCCATATTATTTATCACAACTGCGCAATATTTTACTACACGAAAACAAATTAGGGCTGCTACAGAATGGCACAGACTTTCCTGTATTAATTTTCTATTTTCTTTATTCTCGAACTTGCTATATACTCTTGCCAGCTGACATCCATCGCCGCCTAAAGTATATATTTTTTTAATTTTCATATTTTTTCCGTTTCCTAATAGTAAGCCGGAAATATTATTTTAGCAATATTCAAGAGCTATAAAATCTTTTTCCAAATGGGTTTTTTCTTGGCAAATTTGGATCCGTTCTTATGAAAATAGCATTTAAGCGAATTTATAAATTTGAAATTTGAAGCTATTTTTTCACGGAAAAATTTTCACTTTTCAAACTTCACTTTTGGACGTCATATGAAGCACCTTATAATACTGTTTAAATTTTCTATAAATATGCATATTAACGCCGTGAAAGATGTTTAACAAATAAATTTGTGTAATTTAAAAAAAACACTCACTATGAACTTTGTCATTACTGAGCGCAATAAACATTATCCATTCGAAAATGTTGAAAATAAATTTGGAGCCTTTTTTGAGAAAATGGCGTTTCAGAGTTTCTGAAAATGAGAAATTTCGAGCAAGTTTTCGCAGAAAACTGTTGAGTTTTCGAGAAACTTTATTACATTATTTCAAACACGTGCATTTATAAATATAATGTACTCAAATCGCCGCTGGTGTAAATATTAACGACGTGACAGACAAGTCAAAACATTACAATTTTGTACTTTTTGAAGAAAAAACATCTCATAGAGCATAGGAAGATTTTTTTCCGCCGATACAAGAAATCCGGCCTATCGAGCTAACACGCCGTACGGTACGTTCGCGCCAAAACTATACTAGAATATTTTGTTAAAGACATGTCACAACTGGTGACGGCATTTTTCTCGCATAATCTCGGCTTTTCAAATCTTTAGGCATATGAATAATCTCGGACTTCGTGTACGGTTGGTGCACTGCGCACATGGTTTCTGCAAAGAATTTCCAAACCACTTGTCGGTCTGCAGATAAATTTCGGGCACGGTGTAGGTTTGGTGGACAGGGCACGTGCCATCTGCAAAGGTTTTTTAAACCACTGGTCGGCCTGCAGAAAATCTCGGATACCGTGTAAGATGTAACACATAATGATGACAACAGAAGATGAATCTCTGACACCGTGTAAGGATTGCGCACATGCTTTCTGCAAATATTTTTTAAACCGCTGGTAGACTTTCAGATAATCCCGGGCACGAATTGTGTATGATTGGCTGTCTGCGCGCATGCCTCCTGCAAAGATTTTCCAAAACCACGGGCCAGTCTGTAGAAAAAAGAATTGCTTTGTATTGTTGGGAGCAAAGGAAAAATGTTACCCTGATAGAGTAACACCCGGGGGGATGAATGTAAAAAAAGTAGTTTACGAATTGCACAACTTGCCATTTTGTGAAAAGCGTAGCCAATGGAATTTCTAGAAATTAAATGTTTGTTGGTTCATCGAATTCAATGATGCCTTATCTTCCGTGGCGAGGTTCAGGCCATCGGGCCTGCTCTTTCGCCTGATCACGTAAATTCAGCTACGCTCCTTTCACAGTCTGGCAGAGAAAGGAGGTCTCACGTGAGTAACGAAACAGGCGATTTCAATTTTGTTCAGAGACTGCTTTTAGGCTTCAGGATCTTTTACATGTCTATAATATGGGACAGCCGACTTTACTTCTCATCCGAGGAAAGGCGTACGAAGGATTTTTTCACCCGTAAAATTCCATGAATCGGATCGGGATTGAACCCGCAACCTGGGGTATGACAGCCCGATACGCTAACCACGGCTCCACGAAAGCCACAAGTTCATTGGATGTGGAAGCGAGTAAATGGGTGATTGGTGAAGTTATTTTGCGAGAATTTGTTTACACGGAACTCTAAAAGAACGCTCGTCTTTGAACTGACACGTACGATATCGTAATTTTCTTATAAAAAAAAATCAAAATGTTTTATGAGCATTCTATATGACTCAACTGTACTTAATATGACTTCGCCACTGTCATTATATGTAATTCGTATCTGTATTCTTCTTTTAATAGTACTTCGATGCAGTTTTTTAAAATATTCACGTCTTCTATACCTGATATAAAGATTGGTAGAATTTTATAGCCATTTTATAGCTCGTTCGTTATATTCTGGTGTTTCCATTGAGTTGTTTTTTGGTTCTTTCGAAGAGAGGTTCGAAGTTGATGTTTGTAATGCTTTCTGGAACTGACATTTTCTTTACAACTCTTTGCAAAGGTTCACTATTTTTTCGTTTCCGTCTCGGCATGACTTCTTGCCACTTCGGTGTGCTATCGCAGGTACCTTCAGCAGATATTAATACGGCAACTACTGGTTTGTTGCGCCAAACTACCGGCTTCTGACAGTCCATATCTCTAATGCTTATTGATACTAAACTGTGGTTGCTGCTTCAGTAATTGCTGTAGTTGATATAGTTGTTGCTGTTGTAACTGCAGCTGTTGTTGTAATTTTGTTCAATAATATTTTGTTGATATTCATTTTAACTGTTCGTTTCTAGAGTAATATACGTAGTATAGGGACAGTTATGTGATGCTGCGGAAAATTGACCTCAAGATTTTAACCGAAATACGCGGTTTAGGGTTCCCTGATACCGAAAGTGTTTTTTTTTACGTCCGTCCGGTTTATGAGACCAACACCAGCGCCTAAACCATGCGTAGGATTTTTTCTAAATTGAAGAAACCCGTTCATTTGGCCTGAGTCGAAGCTCCGCAATTTTGAAAATCATTCATTAGTTATTGGTGGTACTTTACATAAAGCCCTTAGGATATTATTAAAAAAAATCTCAAAAACGGCTTCAATTTTATTTTTGTAATAGTGGAAAATACACTTATAAATGTGGCATAGATCCAATTTTCAAGGTTAACTCTGAATTTTCGAACATTTAAAAAGTTTGAATTTATTTCGGTGTCTTACAAAACTACAAAATTGAAGATAGAGACGTTTTCTTCAAATGAAATTTGTTGTCCATAATTTGTTCTTTCATTAAGGACATGCACATTTCTTGAAAATTTTTAGTAGTTTTCGCAAAATATTGCGTGCAATTTTAAAAATTTACAGAAACAAGATTTTTTCACAAACAGCTCCAAATTTTTTCTTTAAACTTTTGATAAGGATTGTGCTAATTGAACTCTCTGAAGTGTCATAAACCCCATATTGCTCTATTCTTTTGCTTTTTTCAAAAATTGCAAAAAAATATTTTTTAACTTCTCTCGCGTCGTTAATATTTACATTAGTGGCAATTTGTTCCCATTATTATATTTATGAGAACATGTACTTTAAATAATGTCATATAAAACTTCTCAAAATCCCAACAATTTTCTATCAAAACTAACTCAATATTTCGCAATTTCAGAAACGCTCAAACGCCATTTTTATGGCTCTAAATTTTTCGATAGGATAGCACTCTCTAATTGCACTCTTTAATATGAGGTAAAGTTCATTTCGGTGTATTTTTTTCAAAAGTACACAAATGTATTTTTTTTAGATCTCTCACGCCGTTAATATGCACATTTCCAGCAATTTGTAAACACTAATGAATTTGTGAGTTAAAGTACTTCAAATGAAGTTTTTAGAAAACTGAAATATTTTTTGTGGAAAAGAGCTTCAAATATCGAATTTCAATAGCGCTTAAACGCGTTTTTTTAATAACTCCAAATTTTTCAATGAAATTGCTATTTAGGACGAGGTTTTACTGTTCTTCAATAATCTTAAAATAATATACCTGCTCTACAATTAGCAACGCGAACATTTTTTTTTAAAAAATGAATGTGCTTTGGGCAGCGATCAATGGCAGCTGGGAAGAGTTTGTGGCAAGTCCGAGTAGCTAGCCGAAAACGAAGGAAATAGGAAACAACTACTGGAAAGTCTGTGCCATTCTGTAGCACCACTAGTTTAGAATTGAACATGTTTGAACCAAAAATATTTGTTTAATTTAGTTATTTTTCAATGGTAAAATGTAATTTTCGAAAAATATTTGCCGGAAACGAGATTAGCTTTAACATTTTACCGTCCTCTGATACATATCAGGAGAAAATTTAAAGAAATAATTAGTGCTTTTTTGGGAAGAACTTTTTTAAAAAAATTAAAAATTGATTAAATATAACCCAAAATATAAAAAAAGAAGTCATTATGCCTTTCAAAACAATTTCATTAAGAAAAAACTATCTTCAATAATTTAGTTGTAGAAACGCCGAAAAATGAAAACTTTCGCAATTTTCGAAAAATTAGGAATTTGAACGAAATTAGATCTCACCAAGCGTTCTTTACGCTATACAACAAAATGTAATCAATAAACTTGGACCTATTTTTTTAAATGTCCCAGAGGCTCCATGTAACCTCTACCTCCATAAATTAAAATATCAATTTTGAATTCAAGGGGCACGACATCAGCCGGATCGATTGGGGAATATCAACTTTGGTGAAAACGCAGCTGACGGTTTAGCCGCTAGCGTTTTCGGTATCAATGGCACACAAAATATGTATTCTGACTACACAACATGTTAGAGAAACTTGTCTTGTCACTACATATAGGGACAAGATTTATCCACTATTTCGTAACCAGGGCCCGGCAATAACAGTTTTTCTGTCGAAAATTCGACGTTTTCCCCGCAGCATTACAATACTTACTCTGTACTGTGAAAGGAGTTGCGAGAAAGTAAAATTAGTGGATTGGTTTAATTTTGTATTGTTTGTTCGCTTGAGTTTTACAAGTAATCGCTGGGGTGAAAATAGGATACGAAGTACAATACAAATTTGATAACTGATACCAATAAACGAGAAAGCATATGCTAGCATCAGTAATTTTGACCAAGAAATCAATAAGACGGAATTTTGATTCTGAAAACACGATACACAAGAGAGGCGATTGATTACAAGGATAAAAGCAGTAAACGAAACAAATAAGGATTAAAAATACCGAAATAAAGACTATTTAAATAACAAATAACTAGCAGAATATCCTGTGACTTAAGAGAACTTCTGTGGTCCACGAAAGTTCGTAACTCGAACCTATTAGGTATTTATACCATAATGGATATTTCTTTCTGGGTCGACTAGAAGTTCGGAAAAACGGAAGAAAAAAAGGTATATTGAGGGATAAAAAGGTCTTTTTCTAAAAATGCCTCAATTTGTTTTATTTTTTATACAAAATGGATCTACAATACAATATGAACAATAAAAACGAGCGTTCGCCAATTGTGGTAAAATATGATTATGATTATTTGTGAAATTATATTTTTTAGGTTTTTGTTTTTTATCACCTTTATTATCTGCAAAAAACATTTTTTGGCATATATTTTTTCAATTTCCAAAACCAGTCCAAAAATAACTGACGATATTTTAATGTTTCTGATAACTATTAATACCAATAATTAACTTCATAGTTTTCAGACCTTCACTTATTTTCCACATTGAAAATAAACATTCTCAATATCTGCTGTTTAAAAACCTCATTACAAAGAAATGCAAGACACATCACAAATACACTCAACGCATATGCACACATGCTGCTGAAGATAAACATCGACATCTTTGCATTATTAGAGTATTACAACAGAACCTCACTTAACCGAAACGGTTGGAGACGAAACAAAGTATGAAAGACAAAACGGAACCAGCTCGGAATTATCTTTCGGTGGATTTTAATTGAACAGACAACAAACTTAACAAAATCATCAGGGCTTGATTTTAGAAAATACAATGCACACAAAATGCAAGATGAATTAAGCAAATAGGTAAATGTGATAAGCCAGAACTGGTATTCCACTGAACAGGACATTGTCGTCATGGTTTTCCCAACGAGATCTTCAGTGTCAGGATCGATTGATTGTTGAGCGAACGTCACCTACCAGGGTCATTAGTCCCGTAAATGTAATCCATGTTTTGCGCTGGGGAGGTGGCGGTGATCTTTCCCCGGCCTATATGGCGAGATCCGGCGCCGACCTACCGTCGCGTCGGCTAGTGGAATTTCCCCTCAACCAGGTATCACCCGCCAGCGGGGCGCCGCCCCAGCCGGGACAGGCTCGTACCTCCAGAAGGGTCACCCGGCATGTGTGGTAGTGCAGTGCATGTTAGTGTGAGTGAGTGTGCGTGTAAAGGGAGAGGATACAAGGAAGAGGTAGAAAAGATCGCGGGTGGTCCGTCGCCCGTTTGTTAGTATACTGCTCCGGAATTCGCCGGGTGTTGATCGGAGAAACGACGAAAAATTACCGATCAAAGCAGCAGGCCGCTAGAATTCTCCTCCAGATAGCGTCCGACTCCGATCTAGCATTCCGTCTAGTGTAGAAAATCCTGTCACCGTTGGGACTCTAACCTCCCGGTCAGAGGGACTGCAATGACATCAGTTGATGCCCCGAGCTATCTCTCCCGGTCAGTACCATGGAAGCATAGTACATTTTTATCAAGTTTATTTTCGTGTTAGGAATTTAAACATTCCGTTGAACATTATTTAACTTTGACATTACATTTACTTGTTTTACATTGCCTTGAGATTTGTGAAAAGATCGCAAGCTAGTTCCGCAGACGTTTGATTGACGATGAAACCGCCGCTAGAAAAGCTGTGAGAACAGAAGGATAAACGATTTCCCCCCCAAAATCGAGCCTTCTACAAATGTAAAAATTTTATGTACGTTAGCAAAAATAATTTACCTTCAGCTTTAAAAATTGACACTTTCTTAGCCATTTTTTTTTCACCGAGAAAGGCCACATAGCGTTTATATCAGTTAACAGAGGTTTTCCTGATCTTCTTTAAGCCGCTGCCTTGTTCAGAACCCAATTTCTTCTACATTCCAATTTGCGGGAGGTTTAGCCTAGCTAGGCAAAACTTGCGACTCGTTTAAAAAACAGTGACCCGAGTTGTAAGATGACAATTTTCAAATCAAGCTAATTTAGTTCGACATACAAGTCCCGTAGACCGCCCGCCCTTGCCACTAGAATACCATGATCGTAGAAAAGTAAAATCATTTTGTTTCACATGAAATACAATCACTATTTAGTTATCGATTTTTATGTGTATTTTTTGGCCAATCCTTAGAGTCATTCCCTGTAGTTTGTTCCCATTGAAAACAAAAACATGTATTCGTTAGTTTCATATTTGGAGGTTTAGAATTGATTTTTCTTGAGAAGGGGAATTGCACGCAGTGTTCGACGAAGTGCAATTTCATGTTTGTGATTTGGCCCTCCCTCCCTATTGATGTGACAGGCAAGTTTGCCTAGGTTAAAGTCGACTGTCGTCGAAGCACCCTCGCAGGGCAGTGTGCGTGCGCCTACGATCACCGAGGTCACGCTGAAGATGCGAACGCCATACACCGTCAAGGAAGCTATTCTACGTGTGTGCGCCTGTGTTTGGCGAGGGTGCTCGGCTGGACGAACGCGACGCCGCACACGTCGCAGGCGAACGCCCGCTCTCCCGTGTGAATGCGCTTGTGGTTGGCGAGGCTGCTGGGGTGGGCGAACTCAAAACCGCACAGGTCGCAGCGGCACGGCCGCTGTCCCGTGTGAGTGCGTTTGTGGCGGACAAGATTGATTTTCTCGATGAACGGCTTCCCGCAGACGTCGCAGCTGTATGGCCGCTCGCCCGTGTGGATGCGCTTGTGGTTGGCGAGAGTGCTCGTCCTGGTGAACGCTACGCCACACACGTCGCAACGATATGGCCGCTCTCCCGTGTGCGTGCGCTTGTGGTTGGCAAGGTGGTGAGCCATAATGAAAGCTTTACCGCACAGCTCGCAGCGATACGGCCGCTCCCCCGTGTGCTTGCGCTTGTGGGCGGCGAGGTGGCTGGGGCATGTGAAGGAGGCTCCGCATACGTCGCACCCGAACGCTCTCTCTCTCGCGCGCGCGTGGCTGGAACCGGCCACGCGAGGTCTAGAGGTCGACGCCTTCCGCCCCGCGTCGCCCGTGACCGGCTCCACGGCCGAGGGCTCGTGTGGCAGCAGCTCCGCCTGCGACACAAGCGTCTTGCTCTCCCGAGTTCCCGAACTCCACGACCGCATTTCACTCTGCCGCTGCGCGGGAAGGACGCCGTCCGCCCCTGAACAGACATGCAATATCTCTTAGCAACACGTCTCACTGCTCATTTACAGAACTCTTGGAGTTCTCTGCGGCACATAGAACCTTGGCGGTCACAGCGCAGCTGGTTATTAAGGAATAAGGAAAACTCTATGCTGCACAGATGGGCAATAGATACATGGAGAGCCCAACGCGGTTAATCAGCATGAAATTCGAAAGCCCTAATTAGTTATTAAGGAATAGGGAAATCCCTAGCCGGCACAGATCCTCGCTGGTCCCGGAGCAGTTGCTAATCAGCTCGAAATTAGAAAGGTCAAATTCGCTATTAAGGAATCAATCGCTATTAAGTGATACGGAAATATATATTTGGCACAGAAGATAAATAGATTCTTGGAGGGGCTTAGGAGCTGGCTTACTTGCCTGTAATTCCAAAGGCCCGGCTCATTATTAAGAAATCGATTAAGGGATAAGGAAATCTCTATGCAGCTCAGATGAGCACTATATCATTAGAGGACAAATCGCAGTTGGCTAATCAGCACGCACGAAGTGCGAAATCAGTTAAAATACTGATTCAGTTTCGCACGAAAGTGCGAAATCAGTTCAAATACTGATAAGAGACTGTCGGTCAGCATCAGGCATTGTTTCGGAGTCAAGTCATCCTACTCTGCGAGACCAAAAATAAGTATGTTTTTCAAACGATGTTGACAATCAACAAACTCTCAATGCATTTATTCAAATTTAAATGAATCTGATGATGTAGCTCTTCTGACTTTAGCTCAAGAACTTCATCAACAAGTTAATTTCAACAAGCTTTTTCACCAATTTTGCAAGCGTAAATTTACTATCATCATTAATATCATCCTTCTGGAGTTTTCTCAGTACAAGTGGTCCTTTTCAGTGCGAAGACCTTGATTTCAGAAAACGACAATGTAGAGCAAAAAGGTGAATTTTGCAATTGCACAAATCACAGTCAAGCTAATCAGCTTCTCCAGGCATTGAAACGATCAATTCACAACACATCAAAACATGTCCAACTCCGATCATACAACACACAAGATCAATGCTCAATGTTGTGACCAACGTTTAAATATTTATAAAATAGATATGAGTACCTAAAATTCAATAATCAAAACCAATTTTTAGTCTGTGACATCAAGCATGTACAAGCAGTGATGACGGCTTGAAAGCACTATTTATAAAAGTATTCGTTCATTTACTAATTTCATATTATTTTGACTTTTCCAAAAACAAACTTATGAGTTCAAAACAAAGTTTTGAAGGCATATGATAGCATATACGAAACATTTTAGCAGGCATTCACTCAGAAATGACACGCTGTAAACGAGATTCTACGCATAGCAAGGCAGAAAATTTAATGTAATAATAGTAGAATCTATTAGTTTATTTATACAGTTTTTGAAACTTCCATTTTTTCCTGAGACATAGCCAGTAAGCTTTGACGAGTGCCAACACTGATAGGAATTGGCAACAATCGGTTTTTCAGATGTGATTGATTAAAGCGTATAAAAAGTCATAAAAAAATTATACTTTAAAACCAATGTCATGTTTATCAACTTAAAAATTCTAGTCAATGATAATGAATGTTGGAATCATTATAATAATTCTACGATGGCTGTCACAGGACATGTCATTTTTGTGAGAATGTGACGCCTGAAATCCAGGTTTTGGAGCTTAAATCAAAGCGTATCCTCGAATTCAAGTGTCCTGATTGTAGATAACTTTTTGAAGTTTTCACAGAGGATCTCCCTAAACTTACAGGATTGTGCCCAATTTTCGAAAATAGATTAAGTAGTTGAGTCCACAAAAGAGAATTTGATCTTGTGACGTTGAAAAATGTTTTTTATTTCAAGCACTGCAGATACCAATATTGTTGATACCATCGATATTATAGATGAGCTTGACGAGAGAAATATTCGTAGGAATAAAGTTACTGTTTAGAACTTAGCTGAACCATTGTTGGAAAGATTATCAGATAATATTCTCAGAGAACGAGACACATCAGAAAGAATTCCAATACTTGGTGACTGTTTTATCTGCAAATTGCAATGAAAAGAAAGACAAGAACGAGATTGAAAAATGTAATAAATCAGTATGGGTTGAACATTCAGTCACATACTCAAAGTATCTTGTGGGTAAGTAATATTCCACTAGTGAATAATGAATGTATTTGTAAATAAAATATAGTGTATGTTTATAGAAAAAAGGTACTGGGAAGTTCTGGTTTATGAATAGAAATCTATCCTTGACCAAAAAAAGGACTGTGGCGAGAAATAAAGCTGTTCAGATTTCTAATGTCATCTCGTGCCATGTTCAGTCATAATACAACCTAACTTAATTTGCAACCACCAATGTGATGTTCAGCTGTTGTTATAACCAGTGCTATGTGCAGCATCTAGAGGAAATATCATCACGATTGCATGCAGCAAACAAAACAACTGTGTATAATGCTCATTCTCATTCAACCCATTGTGATACTGAAGCAGTTGAGCATAGAAACCAATGTTCTTTTTCCATCCATTTTCTCTACAGAAAAATGATGAAAAAAAGGACTGTGTAAAACAGTCTTAACAGATACGTCATGTACATAATCACTGTAAAGAGATGTCACAGATACATGGAAAGTCAACTGTTCCCAGGATAAGTTAATTGTTAGGAAAAGAGAGTTTGACAAAGTTGCTCAATATGTTGATGAAAGATTGGAATAAATGAGCCCTAGATAGACTCCTTAACAGCAATCATCCCAATACCATAAAACAAACATACATAAAATAAACATACCAATACCATAAACCAAGCTTATTTAATATTATAGACTAAAGAATGAATGCCATCTCTAAAGACATTCGTAAGCATTTCCATATATTACATGCTCAAGTACACATGCCAAATCGTGTGCACATCGAGCTCCAGATAAATCACTTGATTGGAATTACTAATTAAACTTGGAAATTCTTGCTAAGATTTCGTTTATAAGTGCTACCTCTCGGTAAACTACCTGAACTACTACAATGTTTTTTCATAAACAATTATCTTAGTATGGAAGCCTGCTGACTCAGTGCCGTTACCTTATGTAGCCCATAATGGCTAAGAAACATAAATTTAATTTAGGCTACATTTGTACCCAGCGAGATCACTAGTGTCACGAAACAGGATGCACGTAGTGTAGAGTTAATGCCAGTAAAAAGAAAGTAAAGTCTAAAAATTCAACTTACTTGAGCATCGGTCGAGATTCTGTTCATCGTATGCAGACTCCATTCCTTCATGTGCTTCATTAGCATAATTTACTGGTATATCACGGTCATCCATCATATCACTTTCATCATCCAAATGTTCTTTTTTTAGCACCAAACTCGCAGGCTGGAAAGTCTCCTCACCATCTCGTCCAAAAGGCACTTCGTCACTCAATTGTGAACGCTGCTCTTGGGCAGGAGGCATCAGGGTTGATTCCATATTCCCATGAGAGGACTCGCAACAACCTACAAACAAAACGGAAGGAAAATTACAAAACCAGTGATGGCACATTTAAAATTTAGGCAAACACCCAATTATAATTAGGACATAATCAAGTTTTACGCACTACATTTAAATTTATAAACAGAGCAATTTAGATCAATCACATCACTGTTAGCTCTTCAACACATCTTCCATAACGAAGCATAATAAAAAGAGTTCAATTTCGCAAATGGAACACTAAATAGTACAGTTCCAGCAAAATGCAGTGCATGCATGAATTTTGCTCAAGGAAGTTTAGTATGCAATGTTGGAGAATTTATAAACATATTTACCAACTTATACAAAAAAAGAATACCATAATATTCCCTATAAAAGTGCAATGGGCATATATTCAGATTAGCTGAAGAAAAAAAAGAATACCAGAAAAAGTACTGGCATTCAAAGATAGATTTAATTTTCTGAAAATGAATACAGACTAAATGTGAAATATAATTCCTATTTATTGAAAATTTAACATTGTTTTATGTAGATAATATTGATGTGAAGCCGATTCATGTTTTAGTTTTTCTTCGTGTTTCTCATATTTCAATGAAGTCTTGAAGAAGAGGAAAAGAAATCCTGCCCAATTCATTTTCGGTTAACATAACTTCTACTGAATTTATCATGTATAACACCGCGAAACACCGGTGAAACCTGCTCGATTTACTCTCATGTAGGAGTGATTAAGTGAGTGAAGTGCAACAGCTAGAACACCAAGCAGAAAAAGGAGGAAGAACGTGAAGAGTGCAAAATGGAGGAGAAAGGATGAAAAATGAAATTAGTGATGTTACAGAAGCGCACAGACTTTCTCATTCGTTTGATATTCTCTAGCTCGCTCTCCGAGCTAGCCAATCGGTTTGGCCATTCCCTCTTCCCCGCTGCCAGGGGCCTCCCACATCTCTTCTGGGGACATTTCCAGTGAACAGCTTCCTCACAATCCATGTACATCGTTCAACCTATCTCATCCTGTTCTTTTATTTATTTGCCGATTGTATCTCTTTATCCTATCTCAATGCTTGAATTAATTTTCTGGGTAGTGTGATCCACTTCATCGATTACACATAAGCATGCAGATTCCACACTCATCTCCCACAGAATTGCCTAACAAGCCAAGAGATTATCGGGAGATTAAGGTACAAATATAAGATACATGAAATTCACAAGGGACTTCAAATGCCCCTCTTGCCATGAACATAATTTAAAATATTTGTGCATTCTATGTGATTTGAACCCACAGCTTTAGTGTCCACATTCATGTGCTCACCTTCCGCAAGCCCCTGTCTGATGGAGCAGAATCACAAGACAGTATTATTTGTAAAGGACGTGGGTTATATAATATAATGAAAATGATACAATTAAGAATTAATTGACACTATCCATTTTGTGTCCATATAGCCTTTACGATTTGGCAGCATTGAATCTATGAATCTCAATCATTTGGACATCATTCGTTTCCATCACAACTATAAAAACAAAGTTATTTTTCAGCATTAAAATCTATCAAAATTGAACTCAGTAAAAATTGTTCAAAACAATATACTCAAAATTAACTCTGCAAGAAAGTCTTAAAATGACCACACTTGTCCTACCCACTGTTTTTCCTCTGCAACAATTTGTGCTAAGTAATAGCATATCACTTTGAGTGATATTTAGTGTGACTTTTTCACGAATTAATACATTACATGAATCGAATGGACAATTAAAAACACAGGAATTACAAAAAAAAATAAAACTTACTCAAAATTGCAGTCGGAATATGTGAAACTTTTATTCAGCTCTGAGTTATCAGTGCCTCCTAGAATAACTTATTAATAAAAAATATGAATAACAGTTTAATGCAGAAAATGATTTCAAATATGTTTCGATTTTATGGTAATAACACTTTCAAAAATCAATTATAACAAAGCTATTTTCAAAAAACATTTATTAAAAACACAATTATTATAGTTTTTCATGTCTTGGTATGCATGGAAATATTTGAAATGGAAGATGTAGAAAATGAATTAGCAGCGGGATTAGTCAATTTCAAATGGATTGAACCCATGTGTGTACTGATTTAAGTATTATTCTGAATAATTTTGGTTGTAACATTCCACATAGAGTTGATAACATATTCTTTGTATTCTTTATGATCTAATTTTCACATATTAATTATCTCAAATATGTTTTTATGAGCAACCTTTGTGGTAGACTCAAGATTTCAGTTCCAACCAGTTCCAACTGAAACAAGTTGCTTGTGTAGTTTATGAGATTCACTTTGAATTGTAGTATTGTAGGTTACGATGAAAAACATTAAAATTTATGCAGATTTTTTCAAGAAAATTTACAGCGATTAAATAACCTTACTTTCAGTAATGAAAAAATTGAGATTTGTCCATGAGCTCTAGTCTTAACAATGAAATGAAATTGAAAAAATTTCTTTGTGTTGTTGGCTTTCTACGTTTTCAGAGCGGAGCAAGTGTAGATTTGGGGATTCACTAAATTACTGTTTCGACGAGTGTAGTGGAGGTTATGGAACGTTTGTAATTATTGCTGAGTATAATTCCAAATTGGATTAAATTCTCACAGAAGAATTTGTGGAAGATAATATCCAAATGATGAAAATTCGTGCTCGGAGGAGAAATGAAGTCTCAGATTCTAATCTCGTACAGAATGTGATTTTTGTTGTTACTTTTATCCGTAGTTATTTCTGTGTTACTAATATACTTTATAATGTTTTTCTTATTGTAAATGTAATTTCACATTGAAGCGATTTTCTTATTTAAACGAGGTCCTTGATGATGTTAATAAATATGAAATTCAGAGGTATATCCATTTTGGGATTATACACAAATTACGTTTCAAACTGCTACACTCTGAAAACCACAAAAAACATGCAATTACTATCGAGTAGTATCAATAACTACTGATCGAATCACAACCAAACATGCATGAATCAGGCTACTTAATGGAGAAAAGAGTATAAACTCAGGTTGCTGTGAGTTACTTGTACGAGGCGTTTTATCCTTACCAAAATGAAAACAGATTCATCCAATGGAGAGTATGTTCCCTTTTATGCTCATACTCATGAGAAGAAACTCAAGAGTATAAACCCCTAAGTTATTTACATAAAACCAACTATTTAGGGTTTTTCTACTACTTTCATAAAATGATTCAGAAACCCTGGCTCAATAAAATCAGTGAAACTGATAGTGACATAAAAAAGTTAGTGTCAAATATGAAAGTAGAAAAGTAGGAAGCAATTTTGAAACCAATTTTGATTGCACTACACAAAGTAGAAGCAAATTCCTGTACAATTGACAATGCAGTGCACATATGGAAAATTTTAGAAAATGATTTGTCAGGCATTCTAAATTCTTCACAATTAAACATTTTTAATACACGTTATGAGCAAACAGTAACTAAGAGTCCTTTTGTATGCTATTTGTTAACATCGAAGTGTTCCCTTGAACACACCTACACCTTTAAAGAACAAGTACTGGAATATTTAAAACACTATGGTGTTGTTGGAACTCATAAAAAATTTTTGAAATTTGAATTGCAAACAGCTCCATTTAGTGGATCTCTTTTAGATCCAATAGATATTAAAGAACTCGCATCCATAGAGTGGTGGAAAAGTGTGCAAGTCATGAAAAAGTTCTTTACAGGAAAAGAACTGAACATTGTAAAACACTTTATTAGCATCATCATCTTTAGCTAGCATGGAACAATTTTTTTCCAATTAATCACAAAATTGAAATCGCCTAGGAACAGAATAAGCGGCAAAAATGGTGTTCCTTCTTAAACAATTAAATAATTCAGAGGAGCTATCAAACTGCATTAGATACTTTAAATGATATCAATTGTAAACCTTTCCTTTATAATCTTAAAATGTTTAATCATTCTTCATAAAATTTACAATAAAATTATATTTTTGATTAAAAAGCAACAATTTTTTTTTTAGAAATATTTCATTTAAATCAATGATATAAATCACTTAATTTAAATTATCGAAGCCCTGCTCAACAGAATAACAAACACAAAACTACTAAAAATAAGAATGAGAGAACCTCTCGAATTGCATAGAGAAGGGATAATATTCTGGTGATAGGGCTGCCACCAATAAACATATTAACGTAAGAAGGAGTTAAAACAGATAATTTCAAAATATCGTGCTCTCAGATGAGCAAGATACATAAAGGAATACATATACTAAGTTTTAAAAAAATCTCCCAATCACCAGACAAAAGCAAGAAAAGGAGGAAATGTCCAGATAAAGATAAGATCCAATTATAAAACATATTCAAATCGCCTAAAAAGAAACACTAAATTAAAGAAATTACAGGCTTCAATTGCTTACCTAAATGGTATTCTAACACAATACCTAAATGGTATTCAAATGTACACAATTGAATAACACATTTACTATATTAACCAATTCTTGGTTTGTGAACTAAGCTTTGTTAGGTCAATATCCTGAACTATCAGAAACTGTATCACAAAATGAGCTGCAATGATCTAATAAGAGATTTACACAACGGAAGTAGCAAAATGTTAGTTTACGTACTTGAGAAAATGTGTGAATCCTCTTCACCACACACTTTAGTAGTTCCAACATCCATTTCTCTCTGGAAATTTCCAGCCCCACATTCATAACTTTTAACATTTACCGGTGTTTTGTTTCCAGTCTCTGGAAATATGTGACACAAAGGTTCATGTTTTACAGTCACTTCAGAGTCCGCAAACACTTCATCACAGCCTAGAGATCGATGATGTTCAGCCAAATGTGTAACTGACGTCGCTGACTGCACATTCTCACATGAGGTATTATATGCTTCAACAGGAATAGAAGAGTTTGTTTGCACAGTATCAGAGTAGCTGTCTGAAAGATGGGGATGCTGCTGAGAA